ACACACACACACACTCTCCCTTTCTCTCTCTCCTCCCTCCCTCTCACACACACACTTCTCTCTTCCTCTCTCTCTCTCACACACACACTTCTCTCTTCCTCTCTCTCTCTCTCTCTCTCTCTCTCTCTCTCTCTCTCTCTCACACACACACACACACACTCTTTTCTCTCCCTTTCTCTCTCTCCTCCCCCCCTCTCACACACACTCTTTCTTCTTCTCCCCGCCCCCACTCTGTCTCTGAGTCTGAAGCTAGCCTGCAACAACTCCAGGGTATGTAGTTTCATCACTGAGAATAGCCCCGGAGTCTGAGAGCCCTGAGCCTGAGATTAACAGGTAGAACAACCTCTGGAACTGCCTATTTACTGTTCACCGCCGAGGGAACACGAGACCCACTGCTGAATTCCTTCAGCAGGAGCATCAATACTCAGAGTGTTTGTAAAGTATGAAGTCAGGTCTTCTGCCCACACAGACGTCTGTGCTTTGGTTGCTTCCCTATTCCCCACACACCTGGGAGAGCTTCTCTAGCTAGAACAGTAGCTGCTTGGGGTACAACACTGGGACTCCCCAGAGAACCTGCCCAGCTCATGGACCGACTGCAAAGCTAAGTGTGCTCAGCGGAGACTCTTGGTACACAAAGAAGTCACTAAAGTTAAGACAGCGCTAGTGAACTCTGGACGCGTGTCTAATATAGGCTCTCCAACAGCAGACAGAATATCAAAGATGAGCGTCTACAAGGTAGCAGGCTCTCCCCTACCTTGTGTCTACTATTGACCATCTGTTCCAAGGCTCGCCCTGCTTTCTGTTTTCCTGCCTCTGTGCAGCCTCCTTTTTCTCCTCACTTCACTTTTAGTAGTATTCATACTTTCCTATGTATAGATTCTAAGAAGCAAGACTTTCATGTTTTTACTCCCTACCTCCCTTTCCTTGTTATTTTCAGGCAGGGTCATATGTAGTTCAGGCTGGTTTCCAATTTACTATGTAGATGAGGGTGACTTTGAACTTCTGATCTTCCTGCCTCTCTCTCCTGGTGCCACCATGCCCAGTTTTATGTGGTGATGGACCAAGGGTTTGTGCATGTTGAGCAAGTACATCCCTACATCCTTTTCTCTTTGCCCCTGTGTTTCCCTTTTCCCTCTTTCCTACTATATTACATTTTTTTTTATTTTACCTTATTTATTTATTTTTTTGGCTTTTTGAGACAGGGTTTCTCTATGTATCCCTGGCTGTCCTAGAACTCGCTCTGTAGACCAGGCTGGCCTTGAACTCACAGAGATCCACCTGTCTCTGCCTCCCAAGTGGTGGGATTAAAGATGTGCACCACCACAACCTGGCTTGCCTTATTTATTTTTGTTTCAAAAAGTTTTTACATTTTTATTTTCTAATCTCCTTTCTTAAATTATCTAATTTTGCTTTCAAACTTTGAATAATGGAAACTCTCTTGTTGTTGCTGTTATTTTGAGACAGGTTATCAGGTAAACAAGGCTGGTCTCAAATTCACTATGTACAGTTGGGAGTGATCTCTGAACTCAAACTCCTGATCATCCTGCCTCTACTTCCCTAGTCTGGCATTACAGCTGTGTGCTCCGATCAACAGGCCCTATCTAGAACAACTTGAGATGATTCGAAATTAGACTCCCGCCCCCACCTCTGCACAGCTGTCTGAGTTAATGACCAGTAAGACCAAATCAATCAAACAAGTAAACGATCTGAAGGAGGATAAGGCCTAATAACTAGGAAAAGGATGCTATGGAGGTATGACTTGTCCATCATAAACAGTCTCAAAGAGAACAAAGTGATAACCAAGTTATTTCTGGAAAAGGACCCTTCCACCCCCAGAAGGTCTGGACTGAACACTCTAAGACCCTCTTGTGGAGACTGTGAATGGGTCTCGTGGACACTAGGCAGCCGTGAGCCATCGACTTCTGGAGAACACGGGAGAGAATCCCCAGCTACAGCTGCTCCTGGCCTCATGCTCACGACACACGACATGTGAGAAGGGAACTCTTTTTTTTTCAAAGGTTTCTCTGTAGCTTTGGCGCCTGTCCTGGAACTTGCTCTGTAGACCAGGCTAGCCTCAAACTCACAGACATTCGCCTGCTTGTGCCTCCAGAGCGCTGGGATTAAAGGCGTGCGCCACTACCGTCTGGCTGGGAAGGGACTTCTCATGGCCACCCAGCAGCAAAGGCAGTGCTGAAATGCGGATTCTGTCTCCAGCATTTTATATTTACACCTTTCTTCTTCAAGCATAAAGTCAAAAACAGCAAAACTTTTCCAATACTAGGTCAAAAATCCTTTATTTCCTACCTGAAAAGGATGTGAAGATAAGAGCCCAGGCCAGTTAAAATATGCCACCATGCATGAAACTGTGTCGTGACACCAATGATAGGGGGCGCTCTCTTTCGAAAGTTCCTGTGTGGAGAAAGGGAGGGCGCTGTTACAACTGAAAACACACTAGTGCTGACAATGTTACACTTTGAAATACTGTAAAATATGGAAATTATTTAAGTTCTGTACACTAACTGTATTGTTTTCTAAAAGGGTATTGTGAAACAAACAATATTTCCAAAAGGTTCATGAAGAAATGACTCTAATTAATGTAGAAGACAATTTACTGACCTTTTATTAGCTTTAATGTATTTGATTAATTAAAGGTTTTGAATAGCCTTACCCCAGAATCCATCGTTTTGTTCCAGGTAACCACTAATCCCATGGAAACTGTTTTGTTTTTAAGTAGTACTTTATTAATACTTAGAAACAGCTGTTCTCAGGAACTCACTTTGAGAAACACAAATACAGTTAGCTATCTGCTCAGGAAAGAACACACACGCACTTCCTTTCATGTCAGTATACCACTATATGGCTTATAAATTCTTTCAATATCTACGGTTTCACATCTAAGTGATTCTTTGAGGAAGTGATCATTAGCAAAACTCTATGTGACAGGGACTTAAAATTTGTAGAACTATGTTAATAGCTCCCCAAGTAAGTTACCCGAGTCCGAGTGGGTCTCAAACTCTTTTGATTAAATAAGTATATATTATACTAATATTAACTAGAGAAGAATACCAATGGGGAAAGCCAACTTGAGGCTGCTATATGGGAGTTAGTGTGTCACACCCAGGGGATGGCTACCCACTCAGCTCTCCTAGGCATTTTGCTGGATGTTTCTAGTTCAGAAGCATGCATCTAGATCTTAGTTTCTTACTTCCTTCTTTCCACCCTGGCGACCCAGGGTTTCATGTAGTCTAAGCTAGCTTTCATGTCTTGAACCTCCTACCCAGAGTGCTGGGATTATGGGCATATATCACCATATCCAGCTTTATCTTAGTGTTTAGCAAGGGATATATTTACTTGTCTACATTTATACAACTTTTTAATATAGGGATCTAAGCAAAGTATATACTTACTTATCAACATTTAAAGTTCTGCATGTACATATACAACGGGAATTTTAGAGGATTTCAAACACAGGCAAAGGTATGCAGAGTAAGAGCCGTATGTGGTGGAGCATTTGCTTGTGGTTCTAACATTGGGAGATGGAGACAGGAGGATTAGGAGTTCAAGACCCCTTGGTTACTTAGAGATCTCAAGGCCAACCTGGGCTGTGTGAGACCCCGTCTCGAAAAAAAAAAAAAAACAAATCACCTTCCTCAAAAGTAAGCTAAATAATAATCCTTACAACCAAACTTCAATAACTATCCAATTATGCTAAATCCAAGTCATCTGAACCTTCATCTGTGTCTCTCTGCCACATTACTTTGAGGAAAATTCTAGATATATTTTATCACTAGAAAAAACTTCTTTAAAACATAGCTACAATACTATTTTCATATCTAAGATATTAGTAATAACCCTCTAGTATAAAACTTTAGTTATTAATCAAGTCCAACACTGATCATGTCTTCACAGTGAACCAAGATCACAAAGGCTAATAATGACATTGTTAACCACTGGCTTTGGTTTTTGGTGCTGGTGACCCAGTTCAGGATCTCGTGCGTATCAGACAAGCGCTCGACCATCTGAGCTGATGCTAGCATCCATATCTCTCTCAAGTCCTTTAATCTTAGGTTAAACCTCCCTCCTTCTCCCTTCCTGTAATAAATCTGCTGCAACTTCCAAGATTCCAAGTTTCCAACGGTCTAAAGCCTTGCTGACTGACACTGTCCTTGGAAAGATCAGCCTGCATTTCAGTGCTTAGCTTACTTCACAAAGCAGATCAGGTCTTTTCTTTTTTCTTTTCCTTTTTTTTTTCTTTTTTTTAAGAGACAAGGTTTTCCTGTATGATAGTCCTGGCTGTCCTGAAATTCACTTTGTAGACCAAGCTGGCCTCAAACTCACAGAGGTCTGACTGCCTCTGCCTCTCAAGTGCTGGGATTGAAGGTGTGTATCACTACACCAGTTTCCAAAAACACAGTAAATCCGTGATTAACTGTATAGTTTTTTGCTGCGGGAGTACCTTCCGCTCCTTCAGCCAATAGTCGCTGAAGTACGAGCCCACGGTGCTGCGGGAGCACCTTCTGCTCCGTCAGCCAATAGCAGCGGGGGTTTCAAACAGCTTGCTGGAACTTCAAAGGGAGCTTGCGCTGTGAGTTCTTTAACGCGTTGCAAGGAAAAATTTAAAAATCCGTGCAGAACAGAGCAAAGTAGGCCAGCAGAGAGTGTCTGAACCTGTGTATCCTGGAAGGCGTGGAGGTTATGGCTGAGGGAGGGCTCGTGCCAAGCCGAGCTGGCCAAGCTGAGTTGGTGGCAGGCAGGCAAGCCAGAGGCCGGCAGCTTGACCCTTAATCCCAGCACAGGGACACGGGGCCCAAAGCTCTAGGCCTCTTTAGTAACAGCGCAGTGGCTGTGTCACGACCCTCTGCATCGGGTTAAACAGAGTGGCAGGGCAGGAGAGCCCGGCTGGTGTAGGCCAGGCTGCCTTGTTTATCGGCCACTAGAAGCTCTCTGACATTTTGTGCTCTGTGCCTGGCCTCTGGATTTTCTCTCTGTGTACATCTGACCTCTCAACTGACTCATTTTCCCTAGTTTTTGAATAAATAACAGAGCAGATTTTAAAACAGGATTTGTCATGAGGCCTACAGTGGTTCCAGTCGTGACTCGGAGACATCCCCATCTGGTGGCTGACAGGTAAAATGGCAGGTTTCTTTTTTAATGGGACTCTAGCTGCAGCTTTTGCTGCCACTTTGGTAGAAATCACAAGTGGCCTATATGCCTATGGACGTACCTCGATTTACTGGTTATTTGGTTTTAGTTTCCTTCTTAATGTTATATCATTGTGGAAATATGTGACATTAATTGATAGGATTAATACGATGATAGGCAAAATTGACTCCTTATCTAAGGGCACTAGGAAATTACCTGAAAGGATCCAAGCTGTTGAATTTGACTTTGAAAAGTTATCACAGAGTTTTGATAAGGTAACAGACAGAATGTACCTCCAGGATGGCAATTTACATGATATCCAGGGGCAGTTCAAGGAGGAGATACTATCTTTAAAAGGAACCATTAAGACCTTGGAGTCACAAGTGCAGAATGGGGACCAAAAAATTGATACCTTAGTGAAATCACTAGAAACACATGCAGGTCAGGAGATTAAGGATTTAAGAGAGACGATGATACAAAGATTTGAAATGATTAAAAAAATTATTGGAACTGATGATCCGGGTGAAAAGACACAAGGGCAGGATACAATGCCACCACCACCTGTTAGAACTGGCTTACCCAGGGTTTTAGCAACATACCCTGTAATTTATTCTGACAAAGCATCAACTTCTAAAGGCTCAAAGGGAGCCAAAGAATCTAGATGGATGCCAGTAGGTATGAATGACCTAAAGGAAATTAAGCAAGCCATTGTTAATTATGGCTTGCACTCTACATTTGTTAAGGAAGTGATAAGGACTTGGGCTTCTAATGTCAGGGCTATCCCCCACGATTTCTCACAGTTAGCTTCAGTGGTCCTCGAAGATGGACCTTCCTTGATGTTTGGAGTTTATTTCAAGGAAGAATCCAAACATATGGAACAGCAAGGAAGAGCAAAAGGTGTGGAGGTTTCACAGGATCAAATTCTTGGTGTAGGAGCTTACGCTGATCCACAGGTCCAAGCTCTTTATGATGATGAAGTATTGTCTCTATGCCACAAGGCAGCTTTAAATGCCTGGGGTAGATTACCAGAGCCAGGAAGAAAGGTAGAGTCATATACTAGGGTTAGGCAGGGACAGGGAAAACCCTATACGGACTTTTTGCAAAGATTAATTAAGGCTCTGAACACAGGAATAACAGACCCAGAAGCTAGACGACTAATTCTTGAATCATTGGCTTTTCAAAATGCAAACTTAGACTGCAAAAAGATAATTGGGCCTTTAAGGCCTAGATCAGCACCTATGGATGAATGGATCCAGCATACCATGAATTTTCAGACCTTTAATTACAATGACGAATCATGGGTAGGAGAAGCGATTTCTAAAGTGATGAGGGGACATCAACCTGCCAAATGTTTTAATTGTAGTAAATTTGGCCATCTAAAAAGGGATTGCAGGCAAGGAATTTCTAGGAATAATACTTCATCTGGGAATGGCAGGAATAGGAAACCTCGGCCTTCAGGTATATGTAGGAAGTGTGGTAAAGGAAGACATTGGACGAATGAATGCAGATCAACAACAGACAGACAAGGCAACCCGATACCATCGGGAAACTCCCTGAGGGACCTCTCGCAGGCCCCCAAGCCAAAAGTGGCCCAGTCATTCCCAGTAACTGTGGAGGACACATCACACCAGGAAAATTAAAAACTCTAGAAGCTTCTGTACAAGATCATAAGGTTCTAAGTGATGCAAATTTGGAGGATAAAGTCAGAAATTCAATTACGAAATAAGAAACATGTATTTTGGCAAACTTCTATAAATGATCAGAGACCAAAGCTGAGAGTATATATAAATGGAATTGTGATTGTTGGCTTGATAGACACAGGAGCAGATGTGAGTATCATCACTCCAGAATCTTGGCATCCAAATTGGCCTCTTCAAGAGGCAGATGTTCAATTACTAGGAATTGGAACCATATCTCGAGCTAAGCAAAGCATGAGATGGGTTCACTGTATTGGGCCAGAGGGTCAAAGAGGAAAGTTAAGGCCATATGTAGCTGATATTGCAATAAATTTATGGGGCCGTGACCTACTACAACAATGGAATACCCAGATTAACATTCCTGCAGTCTCAGGAAGTCATGATTCTGGGAAGGATGCAATAAAGTACTATGCACAAAGGTCACCAGCCATTCAGGCTGTACAAGAACATAAAACAACTAACAAACCTTTAGAGGTACCTACAGCCCTACCTTTAAAATGGCTAACTGAACTCCCTAGGTCCAAGGGAGAAGAAGAAGGAAGAAGAACGTGAGCAGGAAGGGCAAGATCA